CGGACCCTGCCACTTTCCCCCCACCCCAACCTGCTTCTTCCATGCTGTAGCACCCAGTAGCCTGGGACATGCAGGCACCACCCCAGCCCCATGGCATGCACACAGCCAAGGGTGCCCATCCCCCATCTCCATAGCACACAGATCCCCAGAACCACATAGTCCTTGGCTTCCATGGTGCACAGGCTCCCCCCCCCCCATGACACGCACAGATGCCCTTTATCCCCTGCCCCATGGCACACAGACCCCTGTTACTCCAGACCCCATTTCCCCTCTGCCCCATGGCACACAAACCCCAGTCTGAGCAGTTTGGGATTTTCCTCACCGCAGTCCAGCTTGCAGTAGACATGCTTGGGCAGTTCAGCGCTGGACTCCACATTGGGGGGGTAGACATACAGGGCCTGGCTGTGGGGCCCACCAGCCTCCCGTGTCTCCACAGCCTCACGGCAGACGGCCAGGATGGAGCGGCGGAAATCCTGCACCTCGGGGTCTTTCACCAGCTCCAGCTCACAGACGGGCATGCCGATGGCAAAGCCTGAGGTGGGCAGGGTGTAGTGGGGTTAAGACCCAACGGAGCCACCCCCAACACTGAGAATCACCCTTCCCCCCCAGCTCAGGTCCTCACCCGGCCCAGCTCACCAATCTCCCGGTTCAGGATCTTCTCCTCCCGGTTCCCCACTGGCTCAATCACCTTCAGGATGGGTTGGAAGAGCCGCAAGTCGCAGAGCCGCCGCGACTCATCGAAGAACTCCTCCCGCTCTGCCTCCTGAGTCACCCCCACAAAGATGTAGCAGGATTCATCCTGGTGTGTGTGGGGGGGAAGGTACAGATACTGCAATCAACCTGTCATGGCCATCCCTTCTCCCCTCCCAGGCTACGTTTGTACTATGGGGCTTTGTTGGAAAAAGGTACGCAAATTGCACTCTGCTTTTTTTTGGATAGTTTTTTCGGAAGATCTTTTCCAAAATTTGGCCCATCTACACTGGGCCAAATTTTGAAAGCTTCCTCTTTCAGAAGAGCCCTTCTTCCTTGTGGAAGCAGGAAGACGGGGCTTCTGAAAGAGCCCTAACGTAGTGCCTAACGTAGTGAATACAAGCAGAGAGAGGGTAAGTTTAGAAGATAGGATACACAAAGAACAAGTTAAAAATCACTTAGGAAAGTTAGATGTCAGCAAGTCACCAGGTCCTGATGAAATGCATCCCAGGATACTCAAGGAGCTGATAGAGCAGGTATCTGAGCCTTTAGCTATGATTTTTGAAAAATCATGGCAGACAGGGGAGATTCCAGAAGACTGGAAAAGGGCAAATATTGTGCCCATCTATAAAAAGGGGAATAAGAACAACCCAGGAAACTACAGACCGGTCAGGTTAACGTCTGTCCCAGGGAAGATAATGGAGCAGGTAATTAAGGAAATCATGTGCAAACACTTGGAAGGTAATAAAGTGATAGGGAATAGCCAGCAAGGGTTTGTGAAGAACAAGTCATGCCAAACTAATCTGATAGCTTTCTTGGATAGGATAACGAGCCTTGTGGATAAGGGAGAAGCGGTGGATGTCATATACCTAGACTTTAGTAAGGCATTTGATACGGTCTCGCATGATATTCTTATTGATAAACTAGGCAAATATAACTTAGATAGGGCCACGATAAGGTGGGTGCATAATTGGCTGGATAACCGTAGTCAGAGAGTTGTTGTTAACGGTGCTAAATCCTGCTGGAAAGGGATAACAAGTGGAGTTCCTCAAGGGACTGTTTTGGGACCCGTACTGTTCAATATCTTCATCAATGATGTAGATATTGGGATAGAGAGTACGCTTATTAAGTTTGCAGATGACACCAAACTGGGTGGGGTTGCAACTTCTTTGGAGGATAGGGACATAATTCAAAATGCCCTTAGCAAGTTAGAGAAATGGTCAGAGGTAAACAGGATGAGGTTTAATAAGGAGAAATGCAAAGTGCTCCACTTAGGAAGGACCAATCAGTTCCATACATACAAGATGGGAAGCGACTGTCTAGGAAGGAGCATGGCGGAAAGGGATCTAGGGGTCATAGTGGACCACAAGTTGAATATGAGTCAACAGTGTAATGCTGTTGCAAAAAAAGCAAATATGATTCTAGGTTGTATCAACAGGTGTGTTGTAAGCAAAACTCGTGAAGTCATTCTGCCGCTCTACTCTGCACTAGTTAGGCCTCAGCTAGAGTACTGTGTCCAGTTCTGGGCGCCACATTTCAAGAAAGATGTGGAGAAATTGGAAAGGGTACAGAGAAGAGCGACAAGAATGATTAAAGGCCTAGAGAACATGACCTATGAAGCCAGGCTTCATGAACTGGGCTTGTTTAGTTTGGAAAAAAGAAGATTAAGGGGGGACATGATAGCGGTTTTCAAATATCTAAAAGGGTGTCACAAGGAGGAAGGAGAAAATTTGTTCCTCTTGGTTTCTGAGGACAGGACAAGGAGTAATGGGCTTAAAGTGCAGCAGGGGAGGGTTAGATTGGACATTAGGAAAAAATTCCTAACTGTCAGGGTGGTCAAATATTGGAATAAATTGCCAAGGGAGGGGGTGGAATCTCCCTCTCTGGAGATATTTAAGAACAGGTTATATAGACATCTGTCAGGGATGGTGTAGACGGAGCTTGGTCCTGCCTTGAGGGCGGGGGGCTGGACTCGATGACCTCTCGAGGTCCCTTCCAGTGCTATTATTCTATGATTCTATGATTAATACATGGTAACTAAAGTGACTCCTCACCAAAACTCCAGTTGAACTTCGTTCTGCCTTAACTCCGTTTAAAGTTAGGTGTGTGCATGGGCAGTCGGTGAAGGCAGGGCTGGGGGAGGCAAGCCCACAGCCCTGCCCCTTTTGCTGGGTCCCGCTCCTTCCCCACCCCCAGGAGATGGGGCAGGGCACCACTTGCATTTTCCCCCTTCCAACCACAGGGAGGGGAGGGAAAGGGAAAG